TAGAAATTAGTAAAGTAATGAACTAGTACTTTAGTTTTGAGTCCGTAATATACTGAATCACTGGCATGCAGAAGGGAAACCCGTCAATGCATGGCTTGAATGTCCAGAACAGACGATGAAACATCAACTCGTTCTGTACTCGAACTTGATCTTCAGTTTGTACGTTGTTGTACCACGGCACGAAAACCGTCCCAGGGTTGGACTCCTCCATTGCGGACATTAGTCTAGGGAGTAAAGCATACGAGTCTTCCCAATCACCGTAGACCTCAGCCATGGCCTTCTGCTTCCCATGCCACGCCTTCTTATACCTTATGGTGTAGGAATGTCGATCCTTCACCTCAGCCATGATAGTTTTTATCTTGATATCAGGTTGTGCCTCGATTAGATGCTTAATGGTTCTTGCCACTTTTTTTGCCTTAAGTTGCCGGTGATCCTGTGAAAGTATGGTTGAAGAGCATCTGTGGTTGTTCTCTACTGTCCGCATGACCCAGACGCTCTTTCTCTTCATATATGCAGTCCGAAGTTGCCACATACAACCCTCTCCAGCATTCTTACAAATGACATGCAGTTGTTTGGTGTCAGAATATTTTACCTTCCATTAGAAGTTACGCCGCATGGCTGTTTCGCTAAAAAGCATCTTGCACATCGGCTTTCGAAGAGAACGCCATACCCACTTCCAAATTAGCAGTCGGATTATACATAGGCATGGGCCGAAAGTCAGGGGCATCGTTCTGACCATATAAAAATTGATCAGGAACCTCTGTGTAGTAAGGCGTTGGTGCCTGACGGAACGCCACCTCTCTGTCATCGATATCGTCGATATCGTCCGTATCTTCCTCCTCACTGACTGATCTCAAATCTTCCTCACTTTCATCGTCACTGGAGGCGAACGGATAGCTCGGCTCAGGATGGTCATCGTTACCAGCATAACCAGCATCGTCTTCTTGGTCATGCGAAGTACGCCTAGATCGAAGGGAGTTTTCAATGTCAGCTCACTCTGGACCCCAAGCAGGCCATTGATCACCGTCAGGCTGAACGATATCGACGGCAGTCTCACCATGTTGCGGGTATTCTTCCCACCCAACACCTCCTTCAGAACTACTTCCCCCGTAGTTGCTTGAAGTACCTCCCCAGCCATACCCTCCTGCAGAAGTACCTCCTCCGTAGTTACTTGAACTACCACCCCAGCCATACCCTCCTGCAAAACCATCATCATAAGAATACTGGTGAGAATGAGTTTCAACGACCAGCTCGGTCTCGACATACACCTCTGCAAGCCGCACCCCGTTCTCAGATATGAACTGTATCATCATGTTCACCGCGTCATCATCATTTATGACAATTTTTCGTACATGATTCCGTCAGCACTCATGTTGGGATACCGGTAAGTAATTTGACCAACTCTCCTTTGCCCGCCCGTACAAGTCCTTTCTGCACAAATGTCATGGAGTTCTTGCCACGAGAATCTCGACTCAATTTTTAGCATACTGGATTTGCCATTTTCATAGTCGATCCCAATGTTCGAGTTTGTCACCCGACCATTCCACCAAATAATAAGCCGAAACTTCTTAAATTTACCCATGGCTGCAATTTATAATAATTAAGTATAGTATATTATTAGTACATTATGGATACAAAAACAATATCATCCAAACCCATAAACAAATGCAACTAATTGATCTATCATGAGAAAACTAAACAAATTCATCTAAATTCATAACTAACTAACTAACTAACATACACCTATCATTTCATAATTAATCTAAATATCTCATAACATATTTGCTAATAACCGCAATTCACTAAATCCAGACAAATAATTACTAATACATCAACATGTAAACAATACATAATTATAACATACCGAATCCGGATGAGTTTCTTGAGCAGTAAACCAACTCCAAACCATCTGAGAAAACGACCAAAAAAAACACTAATTTTTGTACTACTTTGGTGTAAGGCAGAAGGAGGGAAGTGGGGTCGGAATTTATAAGGAAAAATGTAAGCTATTCACCGCTATGGACAATTGCGGTGAACACATCACCGCTTTTGTCCAAAACGGTGATAGCTAGGTCGATGTGACTTAATTTTCCACCTACCAGGGCTCTAAAACGATGTCAAATATCACCGTTTTGCACAACAGCGGTGAGGCAATCACTGTTTTCGACGGCAGCGGTGATACCTTCCCCGTTGTTGTGAAAAGCGGTGATATGTTCCCCGCTCTCGTTAAGAGCGTTGATACCTTCCCAGTTGCTTCATTGTTTTAGACTTAAGCGGTGATCATAATCACTGTCTTTGTCTACGACAGTAATGTTGAAACTGCTGTACTTTGGGAAATAAGTTATAAGTACTATATTTTGGGAATTTTTTTTATTAATTAGAGTATTCTGGAATTTTTTCCAAGAAACCCGCCGTCCCCTCCGCCTCCCTTGCCGTCGAATTGTCAAAGGAAAAAACTAGCCGGCGAACTGCTCTGCTGACGATCCAAACTCCTCTCCAGCCTCTTCAGTTGACCCTCACTAAATTCCTTAACCATCTTCTTCCTCGAAATCTCCCTGATTTTCGTCCCCCAATCTTGATCCTCGATCTGAATACTCTCCAAATTTTGCTTCGCCCTGTCTCTTCGTTTGTCAACGCGCCATTATTCATGTTAGGTTTCTGTTTATTTTTTTGCCTGGTTTGAATGAGATCATATTGCCAAGAATAGATCGAAGTCAAACAAACCCATCATCTGTAGCTTCTTTCTATTATCCTTTTTCCGTCCCAATGAGATTGTTCTTACTCTTTTATTCCATTTGTTTGTTCTAGGTCGTCATTTGTCCACATCAATCTTATTTTCAATTCAGCTCATACCCCATAATTGCAGCTGCTGCAAGCATAAGGTTGGTTTTGAAGTCAGTCAATGGAGGCCATGCTGGTGTTGTCTTGAAGGCGACATATTTTTTGGATTCCGATCAACTGACACAGTCGGTAGAGTAGGTGTGGGTGTTGCACTCTGGTACTTAAACAGCGTTGCACTCTTTTTGTCTTAACATATGTTTTCAAAAGCTAGCTAATAAATAGTTCATACTTTCCCTGGTATAATGGAGCTTCATCCTGGAGCTGGAGCAATCGACAGCATCACCAAGCAAGTCACGGCTGGAAATTGGCATGAACTACGGAGCTTCTATATATGCTGTTTAATAGCAGCAGATAATCCGAATTTTTGTTTTCATGTAGCAAATACCGGAGAAATTGATGATAAACAAAGAAATGAGGTGATAGGGAGAATTCAGCAATTTGCAGTCGCAATAGCCAACAGGCAACAGGAGCAGCTTGTCATTTCCAGAATTCACTTCAGAATAGTGAGTGAATCAAGATTCAAGACCCATCATCAGTGTCAGATAAATGTAAAACTATAGCCAAGGAAGATGCCTAACCAATACAGCTGAACTTCAAAGTCTATGTACGGAACATGAGCCTCTGAGAATTAACATCAAGTCTTTTATTATCCAGTCGGCAAGCAAGGATACCGCGACGGTAGCCGCGAATGTTGAGATGGTGGAGATCTCATTAGCTCTCTCAGCCGCCTTCTCCATCAGAATCACATCAACGTTTACTCCTTCCTTCTTAGCTAAGCATTCCAATTTGTGCTCTCCTTTATAGAATTCTAGCAATTTTCTAAGTTCAGAACTTGATCACGCTAGTTAATATACTTGAGACATCTATGAAACATAACTTATTAACTCAGTACGACAAAATTTCAATAATGAGCTTCTTTCATTCACCAATCGCCAGCAATTGGAGAGATTTTGGCCAACTTACAATAATAATAATAATAATAATTTGAAGAGTAAACAAAATTGATGAGATGCTCAGAAGTGGGAATGGGCTGAGGATTGCTGAAATTCAACGAACCAAATACCTGATAACCAACATCGGTCTTGTTTGGTAAACACAAATTAGTAAAACTTTCAACCGCTTCAATTAAAGAGAAGGCTGACAACTTGGGAATACCAACAAACTCCAAAACCTCACCTAACAAGGAAAAAAGAGGGGAGGAAATTTCAAGATCCAGTCGATTGGGGAGATCGGGAGAGATTTCGAGGAGATAGGATTTGGCGGCGGCCGAGCAGGTCGTCATGAAAATTATTCCGCTGCCGGCAGAGTAGTTGGCCGGAATGTTTTGTTCTTCGACGGGGGATGGGTAAGTAGAACCCAGGTCAGGTGTAATGACCAATGAGGGGAAAAACCATTGGGTCGGCTCGGAAAAGGATTGAACCGGGTGAAAGTTTTCAGATTTTAACTACGTACGTTTCCATAATAAATGCCACATAGACAATACGTGGACCAACAGTAGTGCTGGCCTTTCTGTTAACTAAACTCCAATTAATTCAAAATTCATTTCAATCCAATCCAATCCAATCCAATCATCCACTTAATCAAATCCAGTTGAATTAGTAGATTCATAAATTGTTGGAAAATTACAATAAACGCTTATAATTTCTATATTTCACAATTCAACATCTAAATTTTATTTTTGAATAAAAAAAATTATTCAAAAACTATATTTTTTGATGAAATTCAAAAATCATATTTTGATAACTAACATTTTCAAAATGCTCATAATGTTCCAATTTGTATATCACTTAGATCTAATTTATGGATCCATCAATACACGAACTCAATCCATTTGCCACCATTTGCCACCTCTATTGTGTGTAGGCTACAGGATGAGTAGTATTGCTTGGATGGATCGACCCATACTCTACTCACAATATTGTTGTTTATGTATTTCTCTGGCAATTATGTTACCTACAGGCTACAGCTATTTCGGTAATGAACTGATATTTTGCAACAAAAATGGTTGTCCCTAAAGCTTGTCATGTTTACAATTTTATCACAAGAACCATAATTTGTAACAAAATACATTTGTCACAATCAAGTTATTGTTTGCCAATTCTATCATTTCAAATCATAATTAAAACTGATCACAACAAACTCTTTGGTCGTGTAAGAACAGAAGAACCAAAACCTGACAAGCCTCTCATCATTTTATTGCAGTATTCGAATTGCCGCAAAACTACAACAGAGAAAAAATTGCAGAGGCATGGTACAAAACAGCAACGTTGTTCCATGAAGGTTTTCCTCGAAATATACACTGAAAAATCGCAGCACTCAAAAGCCAGAAAAACATATATGAACATCCCAAACTTGTACACACACCAAGCATTGCATACATTCCCCACTCACTCATCATCTATGTAATACAAAAGAAAACGTAAATGTGTGCAAGTAACACACCTCATCTCGTGCAACTGCAAACTCGACTTACAAGTGAACTACCACTAGAACATAATCTCGCAAGGTGCGTGAAATGTCCTTCCCCGGCAGATCGCTTCTAGATTTTCTCCCGCATAAGAACAAAGAGGCGATACCTCTACACCTGTTTCATTTCAGCCAACGCACAATAACATTAAGCAAGAGTTCAGCACAGAACAGAACAGAGCGCGGAAGTTCAGAAGGCGCAAAGTTCGTAAGCTCCCTTCTCCCTCTCTCCCAAACTTCAGTTTTCACTAGTTTGGTGCATATATTGCCTAAGAAATTCATACAAGAACGCAGAACGAATTAATTACCTGTTGCATATAAGGGTACTGAATGCGTTAAGAAGCCCCCTGCCGCGACAACCCAACGAGTGTGAAGTCGAAGCACGAGAAGCTTGGCACTGTCTGGAGTATCGAAATTTGAGCCGTTGGCATTTTTCACTGGCGCGAACTCTTCTTCACGCAATACCTGTAGATATTTAATACGTTCACACATATAAGTAGAGGGACATCACACCGCAGCAAACTCAGGTGAAGTAAAGTGGTGGTAGTGTTGTTGGCACCTCGAATAGGCCAGTTGAAGGAGCATATGGAAATGCATCAAATATGAACTGCTCAAGTTTATATCCCATTGTGAATCCATGAATTGAAGGGATCTTTTTCTCTGCAAGATGGTAACTGCACTCACAATGTGTAAGCTTACAGTATACTATGATCGCTGACTGGAACCATACGCAATCATAATTTGGCCATAGGACACAATCTTCTATGGGAAAACAGTCCTATCCAATTGGACAAACATTCGGCAAAGAAGGAAGCTAACATCACTTACGTGCTATCTTTTTCGAGCCCATTTGCCACTTGATTTAGAAAATCCAAAGTGAACATGTGCAGACATACCTGAAACCGGGAAAATGGTAAAATTTTCAGGGGCTATTCCAGAAGATACAAAATCCTGCTAAGAGTGTCAACTACTATAGCATATCATCGACTGACAAATAGAATATACTGAAAGCATAGAGACTCATTCATCAAATCAATCTTTCCGATAATATATATTTTAATTGTATAAAGAAAGGTGAAAATAGACTTATACATTACTCCAACAAAAACGAAGGCGTCCAGTTTGCTGATTGACTGCTGAAGCTAATGACTGATCCAACTCGCTGTACTCAACCACAGTCAGAGGTCCACCTTTCCCTCGCCTCACAAATACACCCACCTTTTCTTGGGGATAAGCCTGTGGAAAATGGTTGTAGCTATTAAGAGGATCACATTTGCAGAACTTCGATCCATGCTAGATAACCCACATGCTTATGAAAACAACAAATTATACCTTGCGAACGACTTTTGCGGCAGCAGAGACTCCTTTATCCACGAAATATCCCACAAAAGTTGGGTCAGCTACACGGACCTGTTTACAAGAACTAGCCATCATGCTCAAAAAGAGTTCTGAAGGTTCAGTAATTAAAAGTGAATGATAAGGCAAAAAGATCATATCTCACCAATGCATTGTCAACCCCATAGCAGTCAACATATTTAATCCCTCTTGCTGCCATGTCTTCCAACAATCTCGATGATTTAAGAGCTGAAGAACCAAATAAGGAAGCAAGCAATGATGCAAAGCAGTAGAGGTGCCAAGTTATGGAGAGATCTGTGACGGGCTGCAAAATAAATACCTGAATATACTCCTCCATTGCCATCTGGGGCCTTGGATACCTAATTTCAGGAAATAAAATGCACATGATTCCAAGTATGAGGATGAACATAGAACTCAACAACGTAAAAGCCAAGAGCCAGAAAGGATAGACAAAAAGCTAACTGCATGGTAAATATACTACAAATAACAACTCAAAAGAAGAGCTTCCTCTTGGCGTGAATGTGAACAACCACTATAAATGGTGCTAGTATTGACAGTGAGTTTCATTTCTTTACATTGCACCCCTCTGTAAATTCATTAATGCAAAAATGTGTTCATCCTCACCAAAATGCTCTTCAATAGTAAAAAAATCAATGTCTAGTTCAAGCCAACTAACTAAGTATCACAAGCACTTGATGCTCCTAGTACCATTTCCACCCATAGCTATATGGCTTGCGTTCTTTTAAATCCTAATATAAAGCAACATTCAGGGGTAAAGGAACGTTTGTTCGGATCAGTGAAGATTAAGCGAAACCGGTTACCCATTCTTCAATGACACGACTGAGTGTAGTTGTGCAAGTTAGCAAACACCAAAGGGGGTTGGCAGAACATACCTTGAAAGGAGTCTCCATGATAAATCTACCATCAGTTGAAACAGAAGGTATGGTGCCTTGCTGGAAGAAGGTGACCTGGATTGGGGAGATGTGAATGTGAAAGCAGGTAACTTAAACATAATATTGCTAAGCTTCGTCAAACAAACAAGCAAATAAATTTTCTTACTTGATCTGCTTCAAGGCCAAAGTACTTGTGGCTTTCAAAAAATCTCCGAGTGAGCTCATCTGTGAATGGACTCGTCATTATGTACCAATGAATTTGTGCAGAACCTCCTGAACCTGTTTAAAAGTATAACTAAGATATTGTCCAAATGATTTAGAAGAATAGAGAATCTAAATAATTTAAACTGACCTTCATTAGCAGCTTGAACAGCTAACTTTTGGACGCACAAAATTCTCTCAGCTTGAAGTTGAAAAAGAGACTTCCCAGATGGAAGTCCAATGTCTGAATCAGAACAATTAGCCCAAAATATTAAAGAACGCCTTCTATTAACAGCAAAACGAAACAAAACACGTGGCTTTATTTTTCCTCCAGCCATTTCTCTCAGATAAATGACAACGCCTAAAAGATCCAAGAATCTGTCACTGAGGTTTCTTGGTCCAAAGTTCAAGTAAAAATGGAGCTACAATTTTTTTCCCCTACAGCTCAGTATTTAAATGGGATCCTCCTATGTTCAACGACAGCTACAAAAGCATATTTTTTGCTGCACATTTTGCAGTTCCAGAGATGTATGATACATCTCAAGTCATTCAAATAGAAAAGTCTATGTAACTCTGTTTGAATTAGTTTCTTAGCGGTTCCATTTTTGGGATCACAGGGGAATCTCCTCAAGCATCCTCAGGTCAATATTACAACTTCCATTAAAATACAACAGTTAGAAACACTGTACACTTGAAAATTACTTACTGAAGCATCCTTTAGGATCAGAACTTCCAAGCCGTGTTCCCTGGAATTCAATTGAATGGACGCATAAAAGGATTAGTTGCATGTTGACATAGGAGAATACAATATCACCAGTTATTTCCTCACATAAATTTTTTAGTTTTCCTCAACCAAATTGATATGCAAGTTAACCCAGTTCAAAACAGTTGCAATATACTAATTATAGCAGGAGAAAGAAATAAACTGTCTTCAATCACAAAAGTGTATTTACATACAACAGAAATACAGATAAACCCAACAAAAAGCACCGTCCAAAAAGCAATCTTTCTGGCGTCTAACAGCTAATAATGGAAGGTGGAACTAATTCCGCTGCTTTTGGATTATTAGTTAAACTTATCCCATCGGCAGATTATCGAAAGTTCCAATCCAGACAAGAAATATCAGCAGAAGAGAAAAGGGCCCCTGACTAAACAACTCAACAACAACTTTAATAAAGCGAAGAGAATGATTAATGATGCAGCAAAGCCATTTTACTGTTGGGAGAAATGGATAGATACCAATCACAGAATTGTCTTGGAGTGGCCATCAAGCCTAAAGGTTACATCATAACAAAATTATGCAAGCAAGCGCAAAAGATTCCCTGGGACAACTACCAAACGCCATTGTTCAACCTCCCTTCATAATAAGTTATGATGGGCTTTTATCAAGTTTGTCAACCGAAAAGTTAAGCAGCATTTAATTCTAAAGACCCAGCAGTAGCAGCCACTCCAGTGTATAAATCGACATGCTAATTACCCAGAAAGAAAGTAAAAAAAGAAAAGTACCTGACCGCCAGATAAAAGCAGAACGGCCAACTTCCCGCCAGAGATTGCTTTTAACCCCATCTTCCACCACCGCTCTCTGTCTTCCATCGTCCTCTCCTCTACCGTGGACACGCTGCTCTCAGGCACGGGTTCAATGGCGGCAACTGGCAGAGCTGCATCCAGTTCATCGATAAGTAAAAAAACCTGAACAAATCTAATCCTGACTCAATTCCACAAGAATTCCAACCAAATTCAGAAGTGGAAAAGACAGAGAGAGCAAACCCTGAGATCGAAGCGAACATCGGATTATCCGATCCAGCCGCGGAAGATCTAGATTCTGCAATCAAGAGGCAGGTCTCAAACAAAGGAAAAACAACCCACCACCATATCCTACCCGAATTCAAGCCTCCATTTAAGCGCTTTAAATGCAAACCCAGAAAAGGGAAATTGACAAACGACAGATATTTGAATGCGGGTGGTCTACACAAACGAGATTCAGAACTTCCCGAACAAAAATTCACGTTACTATCCGAAATCGAACCAACGCGCGAAGATCCGAGAGCCACCCAGGAAGAAATTCGTTCAATTACTCGAGGAGCGAAGGAAACCAATGAAACAACCCAGCAAGCAAGCAACCGACAGTTTTTTGTTTGGTTACCAACCTCGATGTCTTTGACAAGGAAGTCGCGTTCGTCGGCGGAGAGCTCCTCCCAGAGCGAAAACACGTCTTCCTGGCCGTAGTCCTTCAGGCGCTCGAGCAACGCCTGTGGCGGAGGCGGTACTGGCGAGGAGGAGGCAGTGCTGTTGCCGTCGATCATTGTCGGTTCCCTCATTTCTTCCCCGGAGACAAGAGTGAGAATCCGGAATTCAAGTTCCTGTTAGATCTCTGTAGGCTGCCGTGTGGGTATGGATTTTGTCGAGTTGCTCTCTATCTTTCTCTTTCTCGCTTCACGAGTTTCTGTTAACAGTTAAAGAGAGGGAAAAAGGAAGCTGCCAAAGGCAAAGAGAGGGAGTGGGGGAGACTGCACAGAGTTGGGCGAAATAGTAGCGAGGAAGACAAGAATCAATTGATGAGTAGACTCACTGTCGAGTCGAGTGTTAATTAGTAGCTGTCAGAAACCAAACCGGATCCGGTTCGATCTTCTCATTTACCCGCTTGTGTTTAGCCAGACGGGTCAGAGGCTAACCGATTCAACCGTTTGGCGGGTTCGTTCCTTCTTGCAGCTCGGCGTTCTGGATTGAGATCTCTCCAAAAAAATTCCCTTCCCAATCCGATTATTGATTAATCATCATCGTTAACCGGCTCCAATCACCAAAAAAAAAACCCACTTTCAACGACCCGAATCCGGTTGGACCGGCGAAATTTCGCCGGTTAAAAGAGCAATTGCAACTTGGAAGCAAGCCCTCTTCCGTTGCTGAAACAGTAGCGCTACGGCATATCCTCCTTTACCTTGGCGAGAAACGAAGGCGGCAACGGCAGGCACTGCAAGCCAGTGGCGGAGAGAAGGAAACGCAATGACTCTTCCGACGATGGCGACGATTCCAACCTCATCTTTCTTATTGCCCTCTCTAGTGCAATCGGATTCTAGTCGGAACTATTGCAAGTTCCGGCGCTCCCCTTATATGTTCAGTAGCTTCCACGTCAGAGCTTCGCTTTCCGCTCCAGATTTTCCTCTGGCAAGCCGAATTGTAGTCAAAAGTAAGCCGCTTTTCTCCCTTAGTCTCTTTGCGGATACAAATATTGGGTTTAGTCTGTCTGGAATAGAACCCGGGAAGCAGATAGCATTAGTTCCAGGGGAAATTGAGTATGGCTCTGCACTGAGTTTGAACAATTTGGGCTTTGCAGATTTACCTTATCTAACCAGCGAAAGTAGTTTGCGAGAGGAGTTCTCAAGCTTTGGTGAAGTGGCTGAAGGTAACCCAGATTCTGGACCCTTTCTTTTATTCCTGGGTTCTTCTGTATTTAGGTTAAGGTTCATTCCAGTTCTGTCCTGGTTTGACAGTTAAGGTTCTGAAGTTTGAAGAAGGGGAAAGGCGTAAAGCTCATGCATTCATCCAATACACTTGTCTAGACGATGCCTTCCTTGCCTTGGAGAACATGGATCGCAAGGTTGGCTGGCTCCTGAAATTGCTATCTGTCCCGGAGCTTCTTACTTAACTGTACCTTGAAATCTGATCTTCATTTTTGTGCCCACCAGGTGTTTGACGGAAGGATGATATATGTGGAGGTTGCCAAACCCGGTAAGCGTAGTTTTGGAGAATACCCAACAGCTTCTGGACCTCCAAAAGGCTCTCCTGCTGCATCTTCAAATGATCAAGATGATTGCTGGTACTGATTCCCCCACGGCCAACGATTGTGCCGCCAGTAAGGAATGTAACTTGGGAGGAAAAAGCGAGCTGCTAGTAAGTGTGAAATTGTTGTGCATCTAGCCGCATTAAAGAACTGTGTCGCTAATGCCATCAGTTTAGAATTGTGAAGTTTTCTTCTCGTTGCTCCTTTTTTGTGGTATGTTAATTTACAACCAGTTCTCGATGAATTGGCTGGTGGATATGTCCCTGGTCTTTCCTTTACTAAGTGTATGCCTGAAGGTGTTAAGCCTTCAAACTTTGCAATGCTAATATACAACCAGTTCTCGATGAATAGAGAAATATTAAGAGTTCCTTGTTTGTGTATGACAGTAGTCACTAGCTGTTCAGGTTTCAACTTTCATAGGTACTTCCTGTTCTATTCTTGGCTTTTTGCTCAAGTATATGCATAGAGTGAGAGATTACTGAGGTTGCTTGGAGGATCTGCTGGCATATTGCGCCATCTGTGTAAATAATCGACTTTATTATAGTAATGAATTGATACACGCAAGTTATAACTCGAACTCTCAAGAAAGAAAACTAAGAGCTTCATGGACATTGTGTTGCATCCAACTCGGCTGCAACGGTTTGTATTATAACTCCTACCTGTTGCTGGACCTTAATTGACCCGGAGATAGGAGAATTCCTTGGCACTGGGAAGCCATGATGATGCTTCTTTCCAGTAACAGGGTTTCATCAGTCCCTTTTTTCCTTCTGCAGTAAATCCAGCGCCAAACCGGTGAGCTTTATCCCTCAAGGAGCATGGGACCCTCTACTACTATATGTTGCTTTTATATATTGTCTTTCATCATTGTCTTCTTGATTCTTGAATGCAGCAATGTGAGGGATGTGATGTGATGTGAAGTACTTATTTATTTGCAAAATTCGGAACCCCTTCCTGCCGGAGACTCTGGAGATGGAGGCAGTGGCGTTTGATGTGGGGGAGGCGAGCCCTTCGAGCCAGAAATTTCTGAGAGGAAGTTGGAATTGGATTCAATCTGTGCAGGCATTGCTAGCAGCTGATGGAGCTGTACTGATCCCTCGCTTCTTAGTAACACAACTACTTTTGACATCGTTGGCATCATTGAAGGCGAGGGTTGAGTGCACATCAGAGCTATTTCGGTATTTCCACCACTTCCTTGCTTCTGTGTATTCATCCTGACTTACGGTTTTGTACAGTTCCCGTGAATTAGTATCCTTTTGTGCACGACAATCCAAAAAAACGCAGTTAGTTTAGATGGCACTAGAGAGCACCAAACCACCTTGTGAGGGAGCTCCACATCACCAGCAAACTTTGTTGAGATGGGACAGTTGTACTTGGCGTTGACTGCGAAATGAGTTTGTAAGGTCCTGCAGAAATCCAACCTGTAGGAAGAAGAGATAAAGAATTCATCAAGTCGATCCTCTCACTCTCTGCCCACCCTCTGAAGTTTAGATTGAAAGGAACATCCCAGCTAGCTCTTCCAGAATCAAAAGAAACCAAGTCAGAGATTCAAGAATCTGGGTATGAGGCAATAACGACTCTTGGATAGGCATCTTCAAGTCAAGTACCACTGCCTGCTGCCAGGCGCCAGCAGTCCTTGCAAAAGGAAATTCACGCCTCTCCACCTGCATTAACGAATGCATAGAACGTCTCTCTGCCTTCATTGCACAGTTCAACATGGAGCAGCAGTATTACCTCCACAACCAGCTCTCCGAAAAGGAGGGGTTCGGGAACTTTATGTCGATGAGATTCCACGACCAGGAGCTACCATCTATCGCATATTTCCACATCCACTTTGCAAGTAGTATGTTGTTCATGCACTCTATATCCTAAGCGCCAAGCAGGTAGGTTATGAGTTTGGGGCAAACCACGATGGTACGTGGAATGGAACTTGATTACTCTTTCTGCAGATATTGCTCGCAGTTGACCATGGTGGAAAGTGTAGAAACCTACTGTATTCAGGGATCGAGCAGTTAGGGGCGAAATCAACAGAAATGGATTCGTTAATAAAAGTAAACTTTGTAAGCTTCATTCTTTTTTCTCCGTAATCAATTGGACAGAAAACAGAGAGAACCCTGAATTCCTGACATTACTGTTTCTTCTTTGCTGTCGGTCAAAGCATACTAAGAACAGACATGACTGCAGAAATGAAACTTATATCTTGCTACATATCGTAAATAACTGATATTTCATCAAAGTACAAATTTCTTGTTCGTCTAAGAAATGAAGACCCAATTATTAATGAAGAACACAGTGTGTAAAAATTGGGATGAGATCACAGAATGAGGTGATCCCAGAATTGCCTGCCTGACCAGCCTGCTTCGATCTGTTTGGTTTTCGACTTGAAATTGAATCACCTTATAGGAGCCTTGATCCAACCATTAGCGAAAGCAATAGCCAGAATCACAAAAGGAGTGGACATCCCAAATATGATAATGTAAGGAAGTGGTGTCATCATGGGATTCTCTCCTTCCCTTTCTCCTGCTGTTTGCCAGTACCTTAGACAAAACCCCAAACAAGAACAGTTAGTTCAATTGTAAGAAATACGGGTTTGATAGTACCTTCCCTTATAATCCCATAAAGTTTCAGCCTTTGTCTAGTTTTGCTTACTGTTCTGGCTCTTGTTCTTTGGTTATGAACTTCTTCTTGTCTTTTGGCTGCAGTTCTCCATTTCCTCCTCCTTCTGTTCAAATTCAAAAGAAACCCACATGCAAGGAACCAGAGATAAACAAAGTGCGGGAGGGAAAATAGGGGAAATTTGTGAACATTGAGAGTAATCTTGACCTGAGGTTGCAGGTGCTCTGAAGTGGTGAGACATTCTTCTTCTCTGTGGTGAAGAACACAATAGTGGTGGTGATTGAGGCAGGAATGTAGTAAGTGGTTGAGATTTGGGAGATGAAGAAACACAAGGAAATAGAATCAGGCTCGTAGCTGCCATTTTTGCCAGTTGGTGGAAGCTTTTTTCTTCTTCTGTTATGGCGTATTTTGCAGAGGTTTTATATGTATGGAGGGGTGGAGTTGGGATATATGGCTGGTGAAGCTAGTGCCAGGTTGCAGATCATGGTGAATATAAACCTTATCTGTACCTGAAAAACAAAAAACAAAAAAGATTCTGGGTGACCAAATTGGTCAGAGTCCGCCAAATTCCGACCCGAGCAAGGAATCGGTTCTTCCACCCCGTGATTCCTGCCCGCGACGAGAATCAATTGATGAGTAGACGGACGGTGAGAGTCGAGTTTTAATTAGTAGCCGTCAGAAACCAGACCGGATTCGGTTCGATCGGCTTATTTACCCGCTTTTGTTAAGCCAGACTGGTCACTAGTGGGTCGGGAGGTGATGGAAACCTACTTTTTAGGTTTAAACATAATTATCAATATTAATATTATTAGAATTTATCTAGATATGGTTATTAGTCTTTGAGTCATATTATGATAGTCTATTAGGTTTTTCTAGTCTTTCGCTATAAATATGTAATTGGTCTTTCATTCATAGGCAATCAAGAAGAATAATAAGAAAACCCTCCTAAACCCTAATCTCCCTATCCTCTCAATTCTCGTTCCCAATCCCTCTAAAGGGCTAGGCCGATTCTCTATCCTTCTCTCCTCAAATCCCTAATTCTGTTCTAAATCCCCAATTACCGATAGAACCTAATCTCAGGTTCTATCAATTGGTATCAGAGCCATGGTCACAAATTTGAGTTCATCACAACTCTCACTAGGGAATTGTTATCAGAAACTCTATCACGTGTTTGAAGCTCTCCAAGCCAGTTTAGTAAAATATGAAGCTAGCAGGAAAACATATGAAGCTAGGAGGGAAGCTCATGCTAACTATATGATGGCAGGCCTGAAAGAACTTCTAGCCAAACTCGAGCGCCGCGCGGGCCACCGTTTCGCGACCCGCAACCAGCCAGAGTCGACGTCGAAGGATTCATCAGCATAAGCCACCATTGAAGACGCTCCTGCTATTCTGGAGTTTGCTCCTGCCGCCGTGGAAATCAGCTCAATCGGCCCAGCTCCTCAACTGGATCCCACCACCGACGTCCCAAGCATCTCCACAACCATCATCGAGGTTCAACCGCTACTAGCGTCGACAACACCAGTGTCAGTTCTGATCACCAAACTATCAACTCCTCTCGGCGAAGCCGATGTTGCAGTTCCAGCTGCTGCGGAGGCGAGATTTACGACTACTCCCACCGCCGGGCCGAGGGACGATAGGCTGGAGAAGGAGTTGAAGGAGAAGGGAAAGAGGCTGGAGAGTTCGGAGAAGGAAGCAACGCCGATTGAGGTTGCGGACTGGCGATTTCGGAGGAAGAGGGGACAAAGACCCGTAGATGAGGAACAGGTGACCGCCACGCCACTGGTCACGACGTCGATCATCAATCGGGACAGGTTAGTCCTAGTCGAGTCCCAATTCATTTCCGCAGCCGAGCAGCCAATCGGCATCATCGTCGGGTTGCGCCGGGTAGCGTCGAACTCGAGAGATCCAATTGCGGCGAGGAAAGAGAAGCCGCAGGTCGAGGTGAAGGAACTGGCTATGCGGACGACCGACATTGATCGAGGACGCGGTGTCGAGATGACGGTGGAGCGTTGGGCTCTGTTGGCGCGTACGCAAGGAGCGCAGCGATCGACGGCAGCTTACGTTGAGCCGTCATTCGGGAAGAAAGAGGAGATGGAGAGGAAGATGGTGATGTCGATCGAGAAGACGAAGGCGATGGCGGAGTGGGGCTCTCCTCGTCGCCATCGGATGAGCTATGGGCCGCCGGAAATGGAGAAGGAAGACGGAGGCGGTGCGTCTCCTCGTGCACCGTTGGAGAAGAGGGAATCGCCGGCGAAAGCGGCGGAGGTGGAACTGGAGAAGGAGCCGCAGACGAGGCCGACGTCGGGCTGGTCCTCGCAATGCCGGGTGCGCGGCGCGTCGCCGAGAATGAAGTCGGAGGTGGAGCTGCCGACGAAGGAAGGGGAGGAGAGCGGCGACCCTCAGTGCGACAACCCTAGTAGGTCGTTGCCTCGCTCCACGCAGCAGCAACAATGGGAGCCCGATTCGTTGGGCCATGCCATTTGGGTCGTTTCTCCGGTTGAGGGAAGCGAAGTGGACTCGCCACTTCGGTTGGGCCGAGATGCCCTTGTCGCTGGGTTCAATGGACCGGTTGAGGTGGCCCTCAGTTATGGACACGCCAGGGAGAGAGAGACTTATGGGCATTCCATGGGCCGAGAAGGACAGCAGATCGGGCCAACACTTGGAGTGAGGAGGGCCAATCATGGAATCGGCTACGGGCTTAGTGAAGAAAAGTCCAACCAGTTTCAAGGGAAAGATGGGCCGATTCCTCAGTATGGGCTAGGAGCAATTCAAGAGACATTTAAAGAAGTTGACGGGCTAGCTTCAAGAAAGATCAACTCTAGCCCATATTTTCAAACTCTTGACAGGATCAAACCCACATGGGCCATTGACATGGAGATTGAAGTCTTTGATGGATTGATACTCAAGGATGGATCCTTGTACAAGAAAGAAGCAAGTAGTGGGCCCATGAAAGTGAAGTTCGAAAAGTTGGACCAGCACAAGAAGGTCAACTCAAGAGGTACAAGTCGAGTAGTAGAGCAAGATTGGAAGAAAAGAAAGCGCAAGAAATGGAGGATCAAATACGCGGATTGCACGAACGATGTGAAGAAGTGGGTCGAGTTGGTCAACCTTGAGGACAAGGTTGGTTTTCAAGGGGAAGGGGATGATGGAAACCTACTTTTTAGGTTTAACCAAATTATCAATATTAATATTATTAGGATTTATCTAGATATGGTTATTAGTCTTTGAGTCATATTAGGATAGTCTATTAGGTTTTTCTAGTCTTTCGCTATAAATATGTAATTGGTCTTTCATTCATAGGCAATCAAGAAGAATAATAAGAAAACCCTCATAAACCCTAATCTCCCTATCCTCTCAATTCTCGTTCCCAATCCCTCTAAAGGCCTAGGCCGATTCTCTATCCTTCTCTCCTCAAATCCCTAATTCTGTTTTTAATCCCTAAATCCCCAATTACCGATAGAACCCTAATCTCAGGTTCTATCAGGAGGCTACCCGGTTGAACCGTTCGGCGGGTTCCTTCCTTGCACTGCACAATTGGGGCTTTGCAGATTCTACCCGCTTTGACCAGTGAAAGAAATTTCCGAGAAGAGTTCTCAAACTTAGGTGAAGTGGCTGCAGCCTGAAGGGAAGTAACCCAGATTCTATATCCTACCTTTCATTCGTGGGATGATACAGTCTCATGGGTTTATTCCAGTTCTATCATGGTTAGGCAGTTATGCTTGTCAAGTTTGAAGATAGGGAAATGCATAAAGCTAATGTATTCATCCAATACACTTGTTTAGACTAGACGTCAGGCGATGCCTTTCTTGCCTCGGAGAACATGGATGGCTCCCTCTTATGCATTTATGCAACAAACTTTTCTTTCCTTTGATGTATGATTTTCACTTTTGTGCCCACCAGGTGTTCGACGGAAGGTTGATATAGGTGGAGGTTGCGAAACCCGGGAAGCTCTGTCGGTGCATCTTCAAATACCAAGATGATTACTGTCACTCATTCCGCCATGGTCAGTGATGGTATTTACCCAGTAAGGATTGCAACTTGAGAGGCCCAGAAAAGCGAGCTGCGAGTTAGCCTGAAACTGTTGTGCATCCAACCGCATTAAAGAATTGTGGCTGCTAATGCCATCTGTTTAGAATCATGAAGCATTCTTCTGGTTCCTCCTTTGTGTGGCTACGTTACCTTACAACCAGTTCGTGATGAATTAGCTTCTGGGTACGTCCCGAGTCTTTCCTTTACTGAGTATACACACGAAGGTGACTTTGTAATGATCATAGAATGGAATGAATTGAGAAAGGCTGAGTTTCTTGTTTGAGTATGACAGTAGTCATTATAGTCTGAGTTTCTTGTTTGGCTTCTGGCTCCAGTTGATTGATAAGAAACTTGTAAAACGAATCTGGAATCCTCACAGAAAAGCTTCACAAGGGTTCTCGAATTAGAAATGGAATTTATCACACGACTAACTCAAGGGTTTGATTCTTAAGAACTCTCAAAGAACACAATTCTCACAAAGGAGCAATTTTCATTCAACTAAAACTTGGATCATTTACAACGTGAAATTGAAAGCTATTTAAAAACAATAAAAACCTAATAACCTAATAGAACTAGGAAACAATTATGGTAAAAACAAACTCTAAAAAGGACTCAAAACTCGGCCATAAACTCTCTTTCTTCAAGCATAAGCAAGCTGCCTTTTAGTACAAGCAAACTGTCCAAAACCAGTTTTCGTACTAACTTCGTGCCATTCGTTCGAGGCCTTCCCTTTGTTCGAAAACATACCTAGTTTCATGTTGTGGAAGCCTTTAGACTTGAATCAGATCCATGCTCCTTGAATTGAGCTCCAAAGTAGGCTTCACAAAACAGTTTTCTGCCTTGGCCATTTTCTGGCAATTTTCCAGTTTTGAGGTAGCAACTTTGAGGCCTTGGAAAACAACCTTAATGACATCTTCTGGATACAAAAAGCATACCATTGGAAACATGGCAACTTTATCTGCAAAACAAAGCCTTGATCTCCAATTTCCATTGAGCCATTTGTGAGATACAAGCTTCCAAAGTAGGCTTCCTGAAACTGTTTCAACACTTAGCCAAAAATTAGAATGCTTCAAGTTAATTGAGATGACTTCTTTGGCAAGTAATTGTGAATTGTGGATTGATCCAATTGGGATCATATCAAGTAATAAAATGATATACACATGCTGCACATTAATGTAACGATAGACACAAGCTAACTCGAACTCTCCGAAGAATAGAAAACTAAGAAGGGAAAGCTATCTTCATGGACATTCTATTCGGCTGCAACTGTTTGTACTATAGTTCCTTCCTGTTGCCGGACCTTAAATGACCTGGAAGTAGGAGAATTCCTTTGGTACTGGGAAGTCATGATGGAGATTCTTTCCAGTAACTAGGGTTCATCAGTTTCTTCCTTTTTTCTCCTTCTCCAGTAATTCCGGAGCCAAACCTGTGAGCTTTATCACCGGTAAGGAGCACGAGACGCTCTACTACAATATGTTGGTTTCATATATAGTCTCTCATTACTGTCTTCTGGATTTTGAATGCAACAACGTGCGAGATGTGACTTGGTTGTGCTGTGCAGGTGTCAATTGGTGACATTCTGAACCCCTACCTGCCATAGACTCCGGAGATGGAGCAAGTGGCGTTTGATGTGAGGGAGCCCGTCGAGCCAGACATTTCCGGGAGGAAGTTGGCATTGGAGTCAATCAGTGGAGGCTTTGCTAGCGGCTGATAGAGCTGTACCGATCCTTCGCGTTTCAGTAACATAACTACCTCTGACATCGTTGGCCTCATCGAAGGTGATGGTTGAGTGCACATCAGAGATATTTCCATCACCTTCTTTTCTTCTTCTTTCGGGTATTCATCCTGACTTATGGTTTCATCTACCAGTTCTGTATGCATTCCGCTTTCGTACAACTTCCACGTCTGTTTCAATATCTGGACGATTATTAGTCAAAGTTAAAAACAGAAGATGGATGGTACGCACTATGTTTGTTTTAACTTAATCCAAAACCAATCACACCCCAGAATCGAACATCACAGTTAGCTTGAAGGGGACTTAGTTACCTTCTTCAGCAGATACTCAGCTACTTCATCTTGCCTTAATTCACTGCTCATTTGGCCACTGATTATTTCCAGAACTACCACTCCATAGCTGTAAGTGTCAGCCTTCTCTGATAACTGACTATACAATGCATACTCAGGCGACATGTATCCCCTGCGAAAAACTGATGAATCAAATTTGCTGATATATTTGCAAGACAGGAGATTCTTCTCTAATGAAAAAGAACAAGGTGCTCCAATTTACATTGTCCCGGCGAGCTTGGTGTCAAGATGAGTCCGACTCTCCGGTAGAAGTCTTGCCAGCCCGAAATCTGCAATCTTGGGCTGAAAATCATCATCCAGAAGAATGTTGTCGGTCTTGATGTCTCTGTGTATGATGCACATATAGAAATCCTCATGTAAATACGCCAGGCCCCTTGCTGTACCCAGTACTATGTCCATCCTCTGCTTCCAGCTGAGACTGCCCTTTTTCTCCCCTGCCACAATGAAATCAAACATGTTACCTACTTCTCTACACAAAGAAAACGAGATACCCTTACGCGTCTACCAACGAGTAACTCTGTACCAAATAAGAACTTGTCGAGACTGCTGTTGGCCATTTACTCATACACAAGGAGAGGCTCCAGTCCACTGCTGCAGCAGCCGAGAAGGCGGACTAGATTCCTGTGATGGACATTGCTTATGATCTTCACTTCACTTTGAAATTCCTCCTTTGCTCTGCGACTTTGTCCTAGAGAAAGTTTCTTGACTGCTGTCACTTTACCATTCTTGAAAACCCCCTAGTTAAGTAATCAACAATAGTTACATGAAAGAAAAAAGAAACTTGTCAGTTTCTCCGAATTGGCAGCATAATTGCTGCTAAGTTTTTTAGCCAGTCTGTCAAGTCATGCTAGAGCAAATCCCTGACCTTGAAAACTTCACCAAATCCTCATTCTCCCGGCTTATACTCCTCACTGAAGTTCTTAGTTGCTACTTTCATGTCCTTGTAACCGTAGTTAACTGGACCTTGCAACTCAGTTACTCCCAATATGTCACCTTTCGACAAAGCATTCTGTCTCCTGGACACCTTACTTACACCATAAAACTATGGCAACCGCAAGTAATAGGATACCACCACCTATCCCTCCTCCGACCACTGCAGCAATTATAATCTTCTTGCTTAGAACGTCCTGCGAAACAACAAGCTTTCAAATTCCTGATTGAAACAGCCTGCAAATCAGCAGAAGTGGGAGGGAAGGGGAAGGAAGGTAAAAACTAAAAACCCCACTCACCATTTCGTAAGAAGGGCAATATATCAGTTGTTTGATTATCTCGAACGAAAGGAGAGTTGGAGAACCTAAGAAAACAACCCACGTTGACGGCACTGGCAGCAGTTTTCGAAAAACATCTCTGTAAATCATTGAATCCCTGTTGCAAGAAATCTTGGCAACCCTTCTGGCTGATGGTTTCAAGGCACTGTGTAACACCATAGACTGTTACATTCCCACCAACACCGCCACCACCACCAGCAGGAGGAGGCCTCAGTTCTCTCGTGCTTGCTGCGTAGACGACATTGATCTTCTGGGTGGCGATTATAAGATCTGACGGCAGATGTTCCACAGCTACACTGTAAGAAATGTTACCCTTTGTCTCTGTGGTCTGATTCCCGCATACTCCTCTGTGCCCATCCTGATTGCTCTGGTCAAAGAAGTTGTTGCTCTCGTACCTCAACAAAGCAGCACGAATCGAAATTGAGTGGAAAAAAAGGAAATCTGACTGCTTATATCAACAATTATGTTGAGGGTGGAAATTCAGCTTAGGAAGCAACCATCAAGTATGACATGGGCGCCACTGGCAGCAGAGCAATTGAGGATTCTGGTAAAAGCATCATTGAAGCAGGCGAGACAATCAGCTGTGGATAAGTATTTCATGCACTGAACAATGGCGTAGACTGGCTCTTCCCCAGCAGGCTGCTGGACTGTTGCGAAATACTTGTTCTCCCCATTCTTGAGCTGATCTCTGAGCTGAGAGAAGCTTGAATTGATGTTTGCAGCAAACAAGGGAAAGCTGCCAACTTTATATTGGCTACAAGCGATGCTCAGCAGATTGATTTCTGGGTCACTAGACACCATCTGCTCCACGTATCCCTATAAGAGAGTGAATATACATAGAACCCAGAAAGCTGTTTTTGTGCCTGCCATCTTCATAGAACCCAGAAAGCTGTTTTTGTGCCTGCCATCTTCATAGAACCCAGAAAGCTGTTTTTGTGCATGCCATCTTCTTTCTCCTTCAGTTATAGCCTTCTCATGTTGTCAGCCTGTGGGAGGACAAAGCAAGTTAGTACCCAACATTATGAGTTTCCCATTGTTAACTTTTGATTTTATGGCTATGAAGGAGTAATGGAATTGGATTGCTCATTCTGTTGATATTGTACTTAATTGCTCAAAGTTGATCATGGAGGAAAATACAGAAAACTATTGCACTCAAGGTTCGAGCAGGTAGGGGAGAAATCAACAAAAATGGATTCGTTAATAGAATTAAACCAGTCTTTTTCTCTCTTCTTCTTTCCCCGTCATCAAAGATTGAAAACATAGGGAAGTTAAATAAACACAGCAGGAAGCAGATATGCATTGTATGTCCGCCGACGGCTGCAAATCGTAGGACTCATTGAACCACATATATGTATCTGGCTATCTTCGTTTTAGAACCCACCACATTTAGTTAGAACTTGGATATTTCAACAATAATGCAAACATCAAGAGTTTCTCACCAGTTGAATGTGTACTATCTGATCCTCCATTGACTAACAACTTTCAATTTTATAAGTCGTCTGTGATATTTTATTGAGTTTCTTATTTTCCACATTAAAATGTTTTGATCAATTTTTCACATTAAAATGTTTTGATCAAATATTTTAAGTGTCTAACATTTCCTTTAATCGGTGATAACAACTTGGTTAGGAGATCCAAACTATCATATATAATGATAAATCTGAGTCATTTTTCAACTCATTTTCTATCTGATGAATTTGATGCATTATAAAATGCAGTGTTTAGTATGTATTATTGTGTATGTCACATCAGGTAAAAGATGAGATGTAATAATCTCAACTCAACTATCTCAACAATCTCAGCTAAAAACTGAGATATAACAATCACTCATTTTGAGTGATAGTTTCTATCACAGAAAAAATGATTTATTCTAAACAATACAAGTATTGTAACAATCTCACAAAAACAATCACAACCTCCAAAGGACCCCTTTGTAGTTGAACTTGAACCTTTCGGTGATAGTAGACAACCTGATCGATGATAGATTTGTTCCCCAATTAAAACACACATAACTCGCACGCATCATTTAAATTAGGCCAAATACCAGAAAAGGGCTCATAGTTTATGCTTTCTGTCAGTTGTACCCCCTATGTTTATCATGGTCAATTATGTCCAATGTAGTCAAAATCGCGCTTTAAAACTTAAAAACTTACGGTTTTACGCTTCTAGGTCACCAAAACGCTTTCGTTTCTATGTAAAAACTTTAGTGTATAAAATCAGACTAAATTGCGCTTTAAAACTTAAAAACTTACGGTTTTACGCATCTAGTTCACTAAAACGCTGTGCGTTTTTACGCTTTTACTTCACTGAATGGGTATTCTTTTCATGAAATTAATTATAAAAGTATATTTTAAAAATAAATCACCGACAATATGATATGTTTAAGATTAAAAGATACATACCAGATACTTTGATGCATTCTGAACTTCAATAAAGTAATCTAATTCACAGTCTAGGCTCTTCTAAAATTCATTAGCATGGAGGGGAAGGTGGCTTCTTGATAAGATTTATGTTTATGAACTTATTATTAAGAGACTATAAGTTGCTCTACTTTTAGACATGAATTGCAAGTATTTATTAACTTATCTAAATTTTTTGCACTCATATTTTTCATAGTATATGTCGTACTTAACATATTTTTAGTTCTTTTACAGTATGCGTAAAAAACTTACGCTTTTACGCTTTAATTCTACATTTTACGATTTTACCCACTTTCCGCTTCTAGGTAGAATCACGCTTTTGACTGCATTGATTATGTCCCAACGTTTTGGATCTGTTAACTTTGACCGTTAGTGGTCTACGGTCAATGTATTGACCAATGATGTGTCATATGACGTGGGTTCTTTTGCCATGTGACTCAAAACATAATATTTAGAAATAAGATTTGGATGTATTTTTAATAAAAAATTAACAAAATAAAATAAAAAAAATTTCAAAATAAAATAAAAAAATATTTGCAAGCCCACTGTTTACAAGCCGACTTTTCCCCAAATCTCATATCTGCAACAAAAATGAACAAGCAAAAAACCTCAAATCCCATCCCTTACTAGTTCCTAAACCCCCCAAATCCCACAATCGAATCTCCGACCCATTATGCAATCTTCCTCTTCTTCGCACCAAACCAAGGAATTAAACAGAGAGCTGGTGTGCAGCTAACTAACGATTAGGGTTTTCCAACCGCAAATTCAGCGTCGCCTACCCCTTACCACCATTGTCGGCAAAGCTGCTGGCCATCGTGCCACCACGAACGCCACCACCAGTCGCCTACGCTTCTTTACCCCTGCCAGACGCCACGATCGCCCCCAGGAATAAGAGAAAGAAGGGACATCGGGACTGCAGTCCATCCTTGGAGGATCTAAGGAGCAATTTCGTCGCCTTCGCCGTACATTCCTCATCATCATTGACTGCAATTTCTTTTTCTGGGTGTATGATCAGTTCTGGACAGAAACAAGCAAAACAGAGGGAGGATCGAGATCTGAAGGTTGGGGAGCTTCTTCTGGGTGTATGATTTCTGGACAGAAACGAGCAAAACAGAGGTAGGCCGGATCGAGATCTGAAGGCTTGGGAGCTTTGGTCGCTCTATAGTTATGCCTTGGGTCGGTGTGCTACAGTGACGTTGATGGTCGGGGTTGCACACCGTGGCGACACCTCTGGGAATCGAGAGAGAAGAACGCAAGTTTGAGCGAGCAATACAATCTTTTTGATTGTGACCACCTTCTTCTTCTTCTTCCCTCTCCCTTTACGCCTAAAGTTTCCGGCGAGCAATGGTGACAAAAGAAGAAGTAATTCTTTGGCGGAGGTTGGATAGGAACGATGGGTTTTATGTTCATTAATTTAAAAATAAATAAATTATTATTAGGAAATGAAATTAATATATATTATAATAATTATAAATTATTATTGTTGATGATGTGGCATTGTCTAGGTGACATGTTGGCGCCACATCATAGTTAGGCAAACTAATTTTGACTGTCGTTTGGTCAAACCGTTAAATCTAACAGTCAACAAAACGATGGAGGACATTTTTGACACGTAAACCTTAAACTTCAGAACATAACTGACGCAAGATAAACGTAAGGGTACAAGTGACAGAAAGCCTAAATTATAGGCCCTTTTCTGGTATTAAGCCTTTAAATTATGATCGATCTTGCCATCCATACATTAAAAAATACCATTGGAGATCATTATTCACCATTGAAAAATACTTGTGATTTCGCAATCCAACGATAATAAAAGATTAAGGAATTGAGTGGACCATCGAGCGGCCATAAGCATTACAACAAAGTGTCTTTACTCTTTAGCAATGCCATAGTTTTTTGTTCGGAGTATACTTCTTCGTTTTTTACATAATAACAATGGTACACTAACAGGATGACAATTTGAACCCGCCCCGCGGGTATTATCCTACCTGATTCGTGATGCGGTGGGTATTATTCGATCCGTACTAGTATGGGACGGGGCATGGATATCTACTTCTGACCCACCCTGCCCACCTCGCCCCATTCTTGGCCTATTCTACCTCAATTTCTTACAATATGTATACATATTTATCATATTTTGACTTTTCTTCAACTAGTTAGAGTCGATCTTTCAACTGTTTAGACTCAATTGCCCATTATATTATTATTATTTTTCATTCACAAAGTGTTTTTCCCTTCGTTTTATCGTAAAAAGTAAAATTTGTGTGTGTTTTTTTTAAATAACATGCAAGAGTGGGTCGATCCGTCCAAACCATACATGACGGGTTTTACTCACTCCAACCCGTAGCAGCGTGGGGCGAGGCATGTGTATTGATCTACCCGCCTCGCCCCCGCCCATTGCCATCACTACTTATATGTACTAGAAGGAGGTCTAGAAGTGAAAAATTATTTATTATATTTAAGAATTTATAATTCAATTAGGAGAAATCAATTACAATTGCATTGTTGTGGGTGCAAGGAAAATAATACAAGTTGGATTAAAAAAATTGAGGTGACAAAGAGTTACAACTTACAAGTACGATAAAAGTAATATAAATTGAATTGAAAAAAATTAAGTTGATAATCCTCCATTAATATATGGTAGAGTTTTGTGTACTTTTCTTCATTTTAAATTTCCTGCAACGAGAGTAAAAGTAGGAAGATCATTTTTTTCTTTACATATTAATTATTTATTTCATATAAAAATAGCAAAATAGATTTGAACTCGGATCTTTTCAAACAAAGACAACAATCACAACCAGTTACACTAAACAAATTTATTGCACCTTTTTTTATACAAAACATAGACGACGTTGAACTCTGTAAATCAGAGGACTTTTCCATCATGATTAGCAAGCCCACGAAGTCTACCATATGTATTTTTATCGAGCTCGATACTTCTATTTTCATAGTAGAGTTTCATGTAATTTTCCCAATTTTAAATTCGTGCTCTCTCTTTAATTTTTGTTAAAGGTAAATTGGTAATTGGCTAACATGGAAGAAACTAATTATGTTACTCCGTATTGTATCCTTGCATTTTTCAATTTAAATTTAAATTTTATGCTTTTTTTTTATCTTTGTTCTTTTCTCTTTCTAACTTCCTCCGAAATTTCATCCATCGTGCAATAGTTTGTGCCCCTTTCACTTCCCAGTACAAGACTGTCATTGAAAATCAATCTTCAGGTATCTCTTGGCACTACGGTTTTATTGTTGGGGATTTAAGTTGGGCGAGTAGAAGATTTCAACTCCGATATCAATCCATGGCGAATAGAATGGAGTTCATCAATAACTAGAGTTGCAGAAGGAGGATTAGAAATTGAATTTTTGGTTGAATCATATGCCTCTTGAGATAGAAATTTGGTTGTACAACGGAGAGTGATGGCTATTGGATATCTAGGTTTATGATTTTTGCAACTGTCACAACCTATTTCTATCTTAAAACGAGGAATCATTGATTGATTGTTTGAAGTAAGTCGCTTCTTTATTCAACCTACTATAACTGATAGATAAGGAGTGTCTAATTTTGCGCCTTATTATTTTGATCGAGTCTATTCGTATATTGGAGGTAACACTGATTTTTTCGTTTGCTCTCAAGTTGTGATGATCTCCTCTTAACTGAGTTCTTAGTATATAGATGACTTGAATAAACAACTCTCCATTTCTTTTTGATTAGTGACATAGTGTTTCTAAAAGGAGAGCATTGAACCTTTTATATAAGATTGTGAGATTTGTGGGTCGTGTGAGAATTTCAGTGAGCTTTTATACTCTATCTTTCTTGACCATCAACTAACCAATAGCATTTTAACGGGGATGTAATTAGCATTATGAAAATGGGATGAATGATACATTTTTATATTTTATATTCTTAAATGATTATTATGTTCCTCCGAATGTTCAACTTATATATTATTTCTTTATGTATCATCTCGATCGAATGATTATCAATAAGATTAAACGGGTTAATAGATTTAAAAGTAACATAAAAATATAAATAATCAAATATGAGCATTCCGGACAAAGGGCCGGATTATAAGCTTGTAAAAAACACAATACAATTATATTGATAGAATCCGGTTAGGCCGTTAGGGTAAAGAAGATAGACAGAGAGAAGTGGGTGACCAATCCAAAGTGGTCACTCATCTCCAAGGTTGTCAAACCGGTTTATGCCAGTGTGTCGGTTTAGCAAGTGGAATGGTTCAACCGGTGACACATACCGGTTTGTGCCGGTTCATGCCTGTCAATATTACAAATAAAATTATAAATACTCATATTTAAACATGACATTTAACGTCAATACCTAAACATTTATACTTGAATCCAACAAATAACATCAATATTTAACTTTTATACTCATAAAATAAATAATAAAATAATTTTTATTAATTAAATTCTCTAAATTAAGGTCATTTTACTTAGAGATTCGTATGTCGATAATGCCGATCATACCGGTGGTGTCAAACCGATTTTATGATCGATACCGGTTGAACCCGGTACGGTACCACCGATGGCACGCCGACGGGCGTGACAACCATGCTCATCTCATATAGTCCGCCGGAATTTCGTTTCCGATGACTTTCTTGAGAAACGCAAACAAACGCCACCTAAGCACTCAGCAACGACCGTCGACGGGTGGGCGGCAGCACAAACACTGTTTCGATTACCGAGGCAGAGGGAAAGGAAGATTCGATATTCTACTCTAGATTCGCGTTAATTCAGCGTCTAAAATTAGTTTACAAACGCGGGAACGACACCGTCTGGCTCCGGCTGCCTTTCACTTGCAGTACTTTACTCCTAGTTCTCTAGATTCTGGGGAAAGGAGGAAAAAAAAGACAATTATTAAATAATAAAACTGAATTTCTTCTTCCTTCCTGCGTGGTCTTCCAAGCAAAGCATTTGTTGCTTGCAGAGACGCAGAGAGAAAGGCCCCAAATAGCCAAAGATGACGACGGAGGTGCGAGAGCAAGCCCAACAAGACCCACCCACTGACCGCCCCGTTCGAGTCTACGCCGATGGCATCTACGATCTCTTCCACTACGGCCATGCCCGTTCCCTTGAGCAAGCCAAGAAACTGTAACACCCTCCAAACTTACCTTTCACCCTCACTCTCTCAATTCCCTGCTTCTCTTGCCAAGTTCGAAACTTTTTCCATGGCTTATAGGTTTTTTCAGTTTCGGATGTTTTTCTATGTTGGAGACTCCACTAGTTACTTGATTCAATTTTGTCATATGGGTTCGGTGCTATGGTCAGAAAAAAGGTGCTTGCTTTTTTGGATCACAAGCAATTCCCTTATCAGGTTTCAGGCTGAAATTCTCATGGGGGAATTGTGGTCCTTATGTTATGAATTGATGGAATTGTGGTTCCAGGGCAATGGAAGGGAGGAATAGTAGCCGATTCGTGTTTAGGGTTCTAAAGCAAGATGAATTAATCAGATGATCCTGAGATGCATTCTAACTCCCAATTTTTGAAGTACTAGTTCAGCAGTAATGCTTAGAAGCATCTCCTCACTTGTCTATAGGTGATGTTTGCTAAGCTTTTTGTCTTTTGGAATTGGGATGTAGGTTCCCCAATACTTACCTGCTGGTGGGATGCTGCAATGATGAACTCACACACCAATTTAAGGGTAAAACTGTCATGACTGATAAAGAGCGCTACGAGTCTCTACGACACTGCAAGTTTGTCTTTCTGATACCCTTTCTTGTCTTTGCTTCCTTTATTACTCCACTGTTGAAGATACGAAGCATCGGTTCTCGAGTTAATCAAAACTTCGTTCGATTATATGATTGTTGCAGGTGGGTGGATGAGGTCATCCCTGATGCACCATGGGTAGTCACAGCAGAGTTCCTGGATAAACATCAGATAGATTATGTGGCTCACGACGCCCTTCCGTAAGTCAATCAGAGTCAAACTTGCTTTTCAACTAAATCATGGAATTCCATCAATAAAACTGCATTACTTGTATGTAAGTTCCGGTTAGCTGCCAGAGTAATTCCTAAGTTCTCGGGGTTCCTAGTTTTGCAACTGCAAGTGTATTTCTGTCAGAATGTACCAACTACTTTTATATCTTGAGTTTGTATTATATGTGCCTTATCAAAGACCCTAAGCTCACAATTAACTAATTTTCCTTTGGTCTTCCCTATATGTGCAGTTATGCTGATGCAAGTGGTGCTTCGAATGATGTCTATGATTTTGTAAGTGCTTTATTAATTTCGTTTTATCGTTCATGAACCCGGCCCTGCCTTTAGCTTGAATGTTTCTTAATGGTTGCGCCTGACCTGAGAAGCAACAAAAACCTGTTATCTGACTTATGTGCAGCTTAATTTGAAGCTACAGACTACATAGTGTAATCTGTTCTAGAATTCGTCTTAGTATTTTGGGTCGGGGGGGGGGGGGGGGGTTTAGTAAATGTTATGTCCCCCACTTTTAGCTAAGTAGATGCAATTCTTTGCTTCTATAAGAATTGATCATTTGTTAAACTGTAGGTTTTAGTTGAAGGTTTAACGTAGTTTAAATTAATGGCGGTGATAGATACATTTGAGTTGACTAGGTATGCATGCTCATTGTATTTGCAACAAATGCAATGACGTTTAGATTGTAAGAGTCCGGGTGAAAATGAAATTTTAACCATTCCTAGCTCATCGCCCCTTTCGTTGGGTAGATGTCTTGCTCCAGAAGGCCGCTACTGTTGTCATTGTGTGTTTTTAGCTGTTTTATAGCAAATTATTTCCTGGAGAAAGCCACATCAAACACCTCTTTTATCCTTGAATCTGAGTGCAATCCTGCCATTGTGGTGGTTGACTCCTGATCTGCTCGACTGGCTCAGAATTCTCATACCTCTGATGGGTTTTCATCTTTTGTATTGTGTATGCCAATCAATCGTCCAATTTCCTTTAGTTCATTGAAAAAGGAACAAAAAGCTAACCCGAACTGTGTGGCCGTTTGCTTGTTGACTTCTCTGTGTTTGATGTTTTTGCTGGAATCCTGCAGTTTCTACTCTATTTAGTTATGGGGTTTCTTATTGGTCACGGCCCAATACTATTTTGAATATTTTTCCTTTGAAGCCGGGACATAAACTATTTCAAGAACTGGTTCTCACTATTTTTCATCCACAAATACATGAGTCTTCCATAGTATTTACTGGGTTCAATTATATTTCGATTTTACAAAGCATACTGATTTTCAGGATCAAATGAGTTACTTTTCCAATTCGTCCAAACATAAGTGGCAGCAACCAGCAGTATCCAGCGTTTCACGTGTCATAGTCTAGTGGCGTCTTGATAGATTAGTTTATCTCATTGGCCATCATACGTTTACAGGTTAAGAAAGCTGGAAAATTCAAAGAAACTAAACGAGCCGACGGCATCTCCACATCAGATCTCATAATGAGGATTGTGAAGGATTACAATGAATATGTGACGCGTAATTTGGCACGTGGATACACAAGAAAAGATCTCGGTGTTAGCTATGTGAAGGTATGCTGTTTTCTACCACTCGCTATTGTGACCAGTTTGTTTCTGATACTACTTATACCTGATACTTCCCTGTGTTCTTATATAGGAAAAACGTCTTAGGGTAAATATGGGTCTTAAAAAGCTGCAGGAGAATGTGAAGAGGCACCGAGAAAAAGTGGAAGAAAAGGTATGTGGAATATTATCTTAGTAAGTGAATGGTGCGAAGAGTGTTATTTTGACAGCTAATGTGTCTGTTGTGGATGATGGAAATGCTTTTGGGAATGCTCATGATATTTTTTTTACCTCTTGTCTTTTTTGTAGATACAAGTAGTTACGAAAACTGCTCGTGTTCATCGGAATGAATGGGTTGAGAATGCAGATAGATTGGTTGCTGGCTTTCTTGAAATGTTTGAGGAAGGATGCCATAAAATGGTAACAAAGTTTCCGTGTCTCTGCATCTCCATGTGAAATAATAATTTGAGGCTCTGTTTAAATGAAGAGTTGCTTGCTAGAGCTTTAACAAACGCTAGGTTTGGAAAAAAACTGTAATGTTTGGTTCGTAATTTAAAAGCTTGTGGAAAAATCGTCCAAAACACACGCCAAGTATCTTTGCGCTTGCTAGGCATATCCCATCCTGTATACTGATGGCTACTCATCTTCATTTCGCCATTTGGGTTTGTAACAGGGAACAGCCATCAAAGAGCGATTGACGAAGCAACAGCTGATGGCAATAATATACGACAAAGAAGGTGTCACAGATGATGATTCTGATGACGAGTATTACTATGATGATTATGAGGAGGATGACTCTGTAGAGGAAGACTCTTCCGATGAGAAGGGTAAATGATGAATGAAGAACTCCCCCACCTACATTAGTATTCTCCCGAATGATAGTCTCTTGTTGTGTCCTGCATAAACGCAGGTAAAAGCAAACTACTAGACTGGTGAACCTTCTTTTTGTTCTTGTCCTTCTCCTTGATTTTTATTCGTTTGTGTAGCAACCAGAAAGTTGCCTAGTTTGAATGTGCAATGATATAGTTTGGCACACAGCTTTCAATGTTAAATGCGTGAAATGAGTATGACAGTTTGTGTGAAGTGTGAGAGACTGCTCGAATGATGGATGGTATCTTGTTTTCTAGCAAATTCCACGTAAAATGACAGGCCCTATCATGTTAATACAGTCACTCTTTCGCCGATTCTAAAACGCATCTGATTTTGTTTGCTGGGTTCTTGTTCCTTTAGGGACTCTTTCCCTTGAATGTTGATTGGCATTGAACATTTAAAGCCCTTTTCGTCCATGGACCTTAACAATATATCGGCGAAGCTGAATCACCCCGCATTTCCTGGGATTCCTTACAAACACCAGCTATTCCTAGGACATAGTTGGTTGTCTTTTCAAGTCATGTGTCATTGTTCCTCCATTTGTGCTTAGTAGTCACCTCAATTGTACCAGATTGTTATGGTTCTTACACTGTGGAAGTGGAACCAACCCTTTTCCCATTGTGCTTTTATTCACTATCAACACATAATGACGAAGAAAAGAAGGGGGACAATCAGGAAGATGAGTCACAGAGAAAGAAAATCCCACTACCAAGGAAGAAAAAGCAACTAATAACTTTGGCTAAAGGCATAACGTCAGCCTAGGCAGAAGAAACGATCTGATCAAGAGAAGGCATAGACTTGTTGAGCCTGTGTCTGCAAGTAGGGCAAGAGGAGTGAGCTAGAAGCCACCTGTCGATGCAGCCTACATGGAAGCGATGGTTACATTGAGGAAGGAGTCTTATGCTGTCCCCTTCCAGGAATTCTGCAAGGCAAATGGCACAACCTGAAGCAGAGGAAGAATCTCCACCACCCACGGTGTAAGTAGAAGTAGGGAGAGCTACCACTTCCTTCTTCTTCAGGCCGGGATCACGACGACGAGCCAAGGAACGGGCTGTGCAGCTGAGGACACATTGGAGCATGGAGTTTAGACCCAGAGCACAGATCAAGGCGCATAACATCGCCCCCACAAAGACCATGACATTGAAATCGAAATTGATGGATTCCTCTTGATGTTGGCATGAAGAAGAAGAAGAAGAAGAAGAAGATGATGATGATGAAGTGGTGGGACTAATGGCTGGAGAGGGTGGGATGTCAAGTGTGGAGAAGAGAGACATGGATGTAAGCATTGAAGGGAAGGGACAATGAGGAGGCCAAAGACAACAGAGCCAGGAAGGAAAACGCAGAATTTTGAAGGGGTGGGAGGGTGAATCAGAAACAGAGAGTGGTGGATTTTGGGTGGAAGGCTGGGATGCGATAATATGCTCATTTGATAGTCTCCACTGGCGCTTATATATATGAGGCTACAGGGCATTCCCTAGAAAGGAAAATCGACTTATTCTCTATATATTGTGCCATTGCCCATACCCCATAGCTTACATCCAAGTTGCATAGTACCAGAGGCAATAGGGAATGTCTGGAGAAAATGGCTATGGCTTTAGCTTTAAGCTTTTTTTTTCTTCAGTTTTGGACTCAACGTGGAGAATCTTGTACGAGGGGCGAAAACACAGGACCACCAACTTATATCTCTGTCAATATAAGACTGGAGAGGAAAAGGGAGGGCTCTGCTTTCTTTCCCACTCCAGAGGAGAGAAAGTAATAGTCTTTCTCAGTTTTAGACTTTTAGTGGTGCCTAGTGTTTGGGCAATACATTGATTTGATAGCAATGGTGTGTACGGCTCCAATTCTGTGGGATTTTTGGACCAGATACGGTAACAACACCTTATATGTTGTTATAGTGACAATAGTAATACCCAGCCAATAAGAAGGTCGGATTTTGCTGACTTTTTAATAATATAGGTTGACTCAATTTAGATAGTGTAAAAATCAAACAAGGGCAAATTTGCCATTTTAGAAAAAATCATTCTTCGGGAATAAATTGTTTCTCTCGCCCCTATCTTCCCCATCTCTCTGATCCCCTGTACCACCGATTCTTCCTCCTCATCGTCGTCGGCAGTCAATTCCTCCACCATCTATCATCGCTTCTCTCTCGCCCATATCTCAGCCGCCGCAGTTAGATCCCTACGAACCTTTCTCCCCCATTGACAACCATCTCATCGATTGTGGCTCCGCCATAGACCTTCGTCGGTTCGTTTCCAGTTTTGATTCCAATTCTGACACCCCTATGCGATGCTTCGCTCACACGACGGTGGCGTTGAACGGATCCCCCCATTCCATCTCGGTACTAATCTATCGATGGAGATCAAAACTCGCATGGCACAAACCGACGCGCCTCCCGCCATCCGGCCACATCTGCTTCGTTTGCCGCCCTCCATTTGACAATCGATTCCATCCTCAGGCCGCGCCCAGCATCGTTTCTCCTCTGTCTGTCGGTTAGTAGTTTGCACGTGTTGGGACTGGGAGAAGTTGGAGAAGAATGGCAAAAGAGAATAGGCACAAGATGGAAGGGAACAATTTGTAGATAATTATTCATTTTGGTAGTTTGGTTCTATATATTCATTTGTACATAATTATGCTAGGTTTCCAGTTACACTCGTTTTTAATTATATAACAAAAGGGATTATTTGAAGAGTATTTGTAGTGTGATGTGGATAAATTATAATGTGACCGGTCAATGGTCAACGACCACCGGATGTTATGGTCTGGATTGTGAGATTTATGGTTTGGTTTCTGATGTTTTTTATGCCTTTTGTTGTTTGTTTTATCGTGTTTGTGGTTTGCATTGAGAATTTTCTCGTTTGCTTTCAAAAATTTTGTGGTTTGCATTGAGGGGTTTCTGGTTTGTTTTAATATATTTGTGGTATACAATAGGACGTTTCAGGTTTGTTTTTTTGTGGTTTGATTTACTGTGTTTGTCGTTTGCATTATGAGGTTTCTGGTGTCCTTTCGCAAATGTTGTGGTTTGCTTTGGGAGGTTTGTGGTTTGCTTTGGGAGGTTTGTGGTATGCATTAGGAGATTTGTGGTATGCATTAAGAAGTTTCTGGTTTGCATTAAGAAGTTTCTGGTGTGCTTTCGAAACTTTTGTGGTTTGCTTTGCGAGGTTTCTGGTTTGTTTTAGGTTTAATTCACCCGCATAGCCATAACTTTTACGGTTTTGACAAATATAGCCATTTTTTGAAAAATACACTAAAATAGCCATTCCGTCAAAAGCTTTAACGAACTAACTGCGAATGCTGACTGGACTAACGGTAGTGATTGACGTGGCATGTTTTTTTAATTAACTAAACAATAAATAATAAAAGAAAATGCCAATAAAAATTATCCTTTTCTTTTAATTAACTGAAAACCCTATAATTTATGTTTTGTCCGCCGCTAAGACTTCCCTTCCTCTTCTTCTTCTTCTTCTCGCCACTGCCAGTCCTCCGTCGCTGCACCCAAAAGCTCTTTCCCATTAGCCCAACGAACAAGAAAATGCATTTCTCAACGACCCATCGGAGAAGAAGGAGAAGAGAGGTGGCGGTGGTGGTCCGGAGCTGAAAAAGTCCGTCGATCTGTGAGAAGTACAAAGCGACGACGGTGGGCAACAGGGGACTGACGGCGATTCCTCCTCTTCTCTCCTCCTCTTGCATGATCTGGCCTCCCCTCACCTCTTACATCTCGTCGGCGAAAATACCAGACCGAGAGATTGAAGAACCCTAATCGCCATTGAACTTCCCCTTTGAAAAATTCCAGATCCAGAAATTGAAGAACCCTAATCGCTATCATTTCTTTGCCAGGCTTTGTTCATTATGTCGCTATCGACGAGTTCGTGTATCTGTTTCTCTCCACCATTGCTGAATCTCTAAAGTCTCCACCATAAGATGATTTTCAGAGTTGGAGTTGCGAGCGGGATATGAACGGCCGATTCAGATCCTCTCCTGCTTTCTTCGGTGGACAGGGGTCGTTCTCCCCTCGACAGGGATTCCACGGCGACAGTGGCAGCGGAACCAGGAACGACGCCCTGAATCGGTTGCTCATCGATTATCCATTCCATAAGGAATCAAAAATCAAGGAGAGAGATAGTAGCAGAGGAAGAAATCCAAGCTTTGGAGAGGGAGATGAAGCGGAGAGGAAGAAATCCAAGCTTTGAAATCCACCTTCTTTCCATACCTATTCGACATGGATTCAACTGTCGGAAACGGAGATGAAGGAACGGCTGGGATATTGGTGTATTTAGGCGAAAATGGAATCAGGAGAGAAACAGGGGACGGTAGCAGTGGCGGTGAAGGGGAGGCGATATGGGGTATGCTGAGAAGGAGGCGTCGACGGCAGTGAGGAGTTGGGGTAGAGAGGAGGTCTCGACGGAAGGGATTGAAGATGGAAGGAAGAAGGGATTGAAAATGAGAAGAAGGGATTGAAAATCAGTCTCTGCTCTATGAACCCTAGAAAATAAGAGAGGAAGGGGATAAAAACGATGACGATGAAGGGGAGAGAGAGAGAGAGAGTTAAATAAAAAAAATTATTTTTTTTATAAGAAAATAAAATTTTTTCCCCGATGTGGCGTCCACGTGGCTAACTCCATCCGGTTGGCGATGACGTGTCATCCATTTGGCGGACATATCAGCAAAACGTCCACTTAACTGACGGAGACTTTAACACCGTCAAATGTTTTAAGTAAAATGGCTAGATTAGTCCACAATGTTTGAAAAGTGTGGCTACATCTGTGTATTATTCAAAAAGTGGCTATATTTGTCAAAACCGTGAAAGTTATGGCTATGCGGGTGAATTAAACCTTTGTTTTAATATATTTATGGTCTGCATTAGGACGTTTTTGGTTTGCATTAGAGGGTTTCTGGTGTGCTTCTCAAAATATTTATGGTTTGCTTTGTGAGATTTCTGATATGTTTTAGCGAATTTGTGGTTTGCATTAGGAGATTTCCAATATGTTTTTTGTGGATTGTTTTATTGGATTTGTGGTTTGCACTAGGGGATTTTTGGCGTCTACAAACCCCAAACACCCATTTTTTTTAATTGCTTACTTACTCTGTGATGTTGATCTTTAACTACTTTACATTTTTCCACTTTGTAATTACTTTAATTACATATGTTTATCAATAGGGTGTGCCTACGGTGACATGCATGTCACGGTGACTTGCACTTTCCGGTCGACCTCAGTTAGGATTAGGTCGACCTCATTTAGAATTCGGTCGACCTCATATAGGATCCGGTCGACCTCATTTAGGATTCGGTCGACCTAATCTGTTGTTTCAGTGTAAAAACAGTTCATGGTGCCTACTTTGGATATTCATATCATACAATTGGCTAGATGGAAATTGAAGACTAATGACTTGTTTTGAAGCTGGAGTGTCCCTCTACATATTGAAGTGATTGAGAGCTCGATAGGAAGTCCAGAAGACCATTTTTGAACCTCATCAAAAGGCTATGCCAAAAATGGGAAACTGCCTGGAAATGGCTCTGGAAACGTGTTTGGGAAGCCTATTTTGGAGCTCAATTCGAGAAGCATGAATGCGAGTCGAGTCCAGGAGCCTCTACCACGTTAAATTAGGTATGTTTTTATACAAATTCAAGGCATTGGATGAAAGATTGGATATCTGTAAGGCTTCAAACAAAAGGGTCGAAGTTGCTACGAAGGCTGTTTTTCTGGCAGACTTCGAGCACAAGCAAGCGGCCAGAAAAACAGCCTTCATAGCAACTTCGAGCCTTTTGTTAGAAGCCTTAAAGATATTCAATATTTCATCCAATGCCTTGCATTTGTATAAAAAAAATACTTAATTTAACGTGGTAGAGGCCCCTAGAGTTGAATCGCATCCATGCTTCTCAAATTGAGCTCCAAAGTTGGCTTGACAAACACGTTGCCAAACTTAGTCATTTTCAGGCAGTTTCTGATGAGCTCATACGTCGCCGTTCGGCTCGCACGCGTCAGCCCAACCCTCGCTACCAGGACTACGAGTAGCCCAAGTCAGCAACAATTCATGCTTGCCGTTGTAGGAGTAGTTTTCTTATTATTGTTAGCCTATTGAATGAGTCGTTCCTTGTGGTTAGGAGCAGTGGTTGAGTCAATAATATCCTCTCCACCTTAAGTGGAGGAAGATCAGTAGCAGTAGAGTAGGACGTGGGAGGTAGTTCCACATAGTCAGGTCATTCCAAATTCAAGCTCTCTTGTATTTAAGTTCAGCAAATGAGAATAACAGGCAAGCTATTTTCTTGAGAACAAACACTGGTTATCTCGCCAAGAAAAGAGAGGTGGCTTACTCCGGCCAAGAAAGAGGAGACATACATTCATTCAATTTTAGTCCGTATCATTTGGTATCAGAGCCCGGAATGGGCACCCACGCCAATCGTTTGGAAGCTCTCGAAGCAAACGCGCAAGAGCAACAGGCTACTCTCAAGGCTCTCGTCGATCAAGTGGCTGCCGTGCAATTATCCTTGACGCAGATAGCCCAAGAGCGGACCAACCGGAACGATGATCAGCATTCCGTTGA